CTGGTCCTGTTGTTTGCGGAATATACGTTTTGTCCCTGAAGGACCGACCTTTTACAATGACCATGGTGGATCATGAAAATTCGTTGTCCTGAAGCTGGGTCTGTTCCTGACGTATCCGCCGAGACCATAACGGGCAGCAGTTATCGAGCGCTGGGTGGCTTCACATGGCTGTCCAGTCACTGTGACTACCAACCGTGGTCCGCAATTCGAATCGTCGACTTGCAACGACTTACACAAGATCCTCGGATGCAAAAACGCATTCGGACAACTGTCTACCATCATCAGGCAAACTGGATGGTGGAACGCTTTCACCGACAAAGTAAAGCCTCTATAAGCGCTGCAAATGCACTCAGTTGAATAGAAGTTTTGCCATTGCTAGTGCTCGGGATTCGATCCGCACTGAAAGCCGATCTCGGGACGCCCAGCGCCGAACTGTTTCACCGGCAACCACTCCGATTGTTAGACGTCTTCTCCAAAGGCCAAATTACGACGCGCACTACTCTCGGCAACTATCTTTGCGCATATCGAATCAGACTGCATTTCTAGTAGTTCCCTCTGCAAGCTTTCTTCTGCAATGGCAACACCAAGAAATCTTTCCTGAAATCCTTTTGACAACAATGCCATGTGACCGTCATACTTCGCAAAGTTAAGTACATATTCCGTATTGGCAGTGCCGTTCAGCTTTTTACAGTAAAGAAAACGAACAAAATTTCCCTTTGGACAACTGTGACTTCCTTCAGCTTAGTTTTGTAACGAAGCACTTGCTGTCATCATGCAATTGAGGGATGAGTTTGTACTTGTGTTGCAATTTCAAATTAAGACGGGTTAATTGGGAAGTAATGTCCACAACGAATGCCAGATGCTGGATATAATTTTCACCTTTTGTGCGTTTTAAAATTTATCTTCAAAACATTAGTATCCTTGTCTCAACAAATAAAACCTTGTCAACACTTTGTGACATAACAACCAGCGGACGTCTGTGTAGAATGGAACCTCGGTAAACTGATCATTCATGTCTTCCAACAACTGGTTGAATTGACGGTGGTTGAGAGCTCCGCCTCTGATATAGTTCATTGTCTTTGTGGTAAACTGAGTACATGCTCCAAGTTTAAAATATTGAAACACAAATTTTACTGATGAGGAATGTAGTGAAAATGTGCAGATGATATATCAGGGTGCGAATTTTATTTATCTTTACGTAACATGGTAGCAACACCATTATGTCTACCAAAGATATTCGCATCACCGTCAGTAGATAAACATGCATGTTTACTCCAATCCAATTCTTAGTCCCGCGAAAGATCCTCGAGTTTCTGTACGATGTCCTGGCTTGTTGTATTGTCCTGCATTGAAATCTGTTCTATCAGTACTTTATAAATATTAAATTCGTTGTCACATGCCCTGATGAAAACTGCTAGCTGGGTTATTCCGATAATGTCAATGGTTTCATCAACAGTAAAGGAAAAATGTTCAAAACCGGATGATGTGGCCTTCAGCTGTTATCTAAAATCGGCTGACATTTCATTAATTCTTTCAACAACAGTGTTCTGTTTAATGAAATGTCTTTGAATAAGCGTGCTTTTTCTAGACACACAATAGCAGCCATTTCTACAAGGCATTCGCTCATGAACTCCCCTTCCCTGTAATAGTTCCCAAGCAGGGAGATCTTTTGGCTGAGTTCATGGCTTGCAGTAACGTAAGCCACATACTCTTTTTCACTTTTTGTAAAACAGGTCTGTTGCTGTCTCAAGTTACCCTTCAATTCAATGAGCTTTGAAACACGCATGACGCTTTCATATTTATCATAAGGTCAATGGTTCGTTTCATAATGTCTTTTCAAGTTGTACTCTTTCTGCGTGGCAACGCTGTTATTGCAAATTGCGCACTACAACTCTCCATACACCCCTGTGAGAAAATAATCTGTACCTGTGAGTACTACGCGGTAACTCGATTTTTTGGCGTGCCATACTGATCGAGATTTTCAGCTGAAATAACGTGGAAAACAGTGTTTGAATAAACACTTAAAACGAAATTTGACTATTGTCAAATTTCCTCTGATCCAAGAAATCTTGGATCGATTAAATTGGTACTGGCCCAAGCGTCTTTGACGCTTACTGGTAATTTTTCCGGTTGTTCCCAGTTTTAATCCCGTTTTACACCCTGTTTTTGCCTTTTTATTGCGGTCGTTTTCCTATTGTATACGTGTTGTTATTCTAATCTGTTTTCCACATGAACATGGCTGTCTCGCTAAACGCCGAGACGGATGGACCTATGGGGTCCTCGTTTGATGAGTCTACTGCTGCTTGCGGACAGGTTAACTGTTCAGAGCCAGTAACAGATGCATCTGGTGGTATGCAGTGTGACGTCTGCTGCCGCTGGTATCACGAGAGCTGTACCGGCCTACAAGCTGACCAGTACCAAATGCTATCATCAAGCGTCCACTTTCTTTTCAGCTGCGCTGAATGCTGCGCTAAAAGATCGACGCACCCGGCTGTCACCGGTGCTAAACTTTCAGCGTTGGCTTCAAGGTTGGCAGATGTTGAGTTGGCGATAGCTAAACTCGCCTCTATTGCGTCGCTCGATACGAAAATGGATTTAATTTTAAAATCCCTAAATATTTCGTTTGAAGACACAGCAACAGCCGGCAACATTGCTGACGATCCATCCACTGGAGTCTGTCACTCGATCATAAAGTCGCACATCCTACCGGCCAATCCAGGTAGCATTGCTGGCGGTCCTCATGATCCCATCAAAGTGAAGAAAAATAGGGTGCGGAAATACCAAAAGCCCTCTGCTAAACCCAGAGAAATAGTTGCCACGGCATCAAACGAGATGCCGTCTTTGACAGTCGTAAAGTCGTCTGAAGATTGCACACAGAACCTTCCACAGACGCTGACTGTCTCGGCCGCCAGTGAACCAGCCTGCTCTGACGAAATGCTGGTAACTGCCCAATGCGATACAAAGTCAGCGGCCCCTGCTCCAGTGAGCCAAAAGAAGAAGCGGACAAGATCTGCTCGTAAAACTTCGAAGGGGCTTGAAGACCCTGGAACCAGTAAGACGCCGGCAATAGAGCGGGAAACCTACGCTACGGTTGCTTCGTCGTCGTTTGGGTAGCCAGCGACAGTCCCACCGCCAGTGGTGAAAACAGCTGGTATAGGTGTCGAATCAAAGGCACGTGGGGTAAACACTCCCCGTCGTGCCGACTCTTTCACTGATAGTAGCGTTATATTCCGTAACGTTACTGAATCTGAGACCGTTCTCCCAAGGGAACGCATCTTGGATGACATCAAGTGGCTGAAACTGTGTGTCAGCAAGCTGCTTCCACCTGGTTTCCCTGGTGTCACTGTCAGAAAGCTGATCAGATTGGGGAACGTTCCTATCGCTACGCCAAATCCACGACCCCGACTACTTCGCGTAGTCCTTTCTACCCCGGAGGAACGCAAATCGTTACTGCGATTTGCATTCAAACTTAAGGGTAGTGGTGTCAGCGTTCAGCCGGACCTCCCACTGGCAGATGGGTTGAAGTTAAAGGAGGCTATCAAAGACCTCAAAACTAGACGGGCGGCTGGTGAACAAGGCCTCCGTCTGGTGGGTTTTCAGGTGGTCAGCCGGAAATTACTTTCCGCCCTATCAGAACCAATCCTGATGGCGCACGATCCAGGGATGGTCGTGCCGACTTCCTTGAGGTAGTACTTAGCAACGTGCGTAGCCTAAGGAACAAGGTGCACGAGTTGGGTCTACTTGTAGACAAATCTCGTCCCGACATACTTGCTTTCACTGAGACGTGGTTGTCTCCGGATATCACGGACGGTGAGGTATATTTACCTGGCTACGCGCTGCTTAGAACTGATCGCTCCGTTGGTCGCCAAGGCGGAGGCGTTGTACTGTATGTGAGCTGTAACTTAGATGTGTTGAGGACTTGCACATTCCAGTCGTCGGATCAGACTGTTGAAGCCCTATCGGCTGTTTTGTGCACTTCCTCTACCCAGTTTACAGTTATAGTGGTATACAGAAGTCCTGGAAGTTCCTCCAGTGGTATACGTGACTTTATTCGCACTCATTCTGCGAATAAGTGTTTAGTTCTAGGGGATTTCAACCTCCCGGAAGTCTGTTGGGCCGATCTTTCTTGCAATTCGGCATTAGGAACATTCGGTGCAGACTTCCTTGAACTGACTCTTCAAGTGCCTTTGCACCAGTTCGTTGACTTTCCCACTAGGTATATGGACAACCAAATGCCATCTACTTTGGATTTGGTTTTCGCTAAGTCCCTTGACTTCGTGACTGACGTTTCATGCGGTGCACCTCTAGGGTCCAGCGATCACGTATGCATATCCTTTCGATGTGCTCTTCCAAGGCACCAAGAGACCGCTGTTGAATTACTTCCGAATATTTGGCGGGCGGACTTTAGTGCAATGCGAACTAAGGCTTCAGTTCTGAACTGTGAGATTTCGATGGCTGACTCTGTCCAGTTAGCCTGGGATAAATTTAAGGCATACCTTACGGAGGTTTCCGAACCCTATATTCCACTCATTAGGAAAAGAGGGTTAAGGGCACAGCCTCCATGGATAGATACCACAGGCAAGTACCTACTCAAGAAACGGTCTAGATGCTGGCGAACCTACCAAGCAGCTCCATCAGCCAGTACCTATGATAGTTATCGAGAGAATAGGAATAAATGTAAGCAACATCTCAGAACTGCTCGTCTCCAATACGAGCAGGGTTTAGCGGACTCGGCCGCAGCTAATCCCAAGAAGTTTTTGCTTACGTTAAAAGACGCAGCGGGGCAAAATTGTCTATACCAGCTTTATTGCGAGCAGACGGGACCCCTGCGCAAACTGACTATGACAAGGCTTGTATACTTAGTGATCAGTATACTGCGGTCTTTGCTCGGGAGACCTCTTTACCGCAGGTTGAATTGGTTTCAAAAGTTCCAGAGGATTCTTGCTTAGCTGAATTTAGCATAACGGAGACTCAGGTCTTCGAGCTACTGCAAGGCATTAATCCCTCTAAAGCTTCCGGTCCTGATTCAATTCATCCGAAGCTGTTGCATGAACTGGCCACTGAGCTGAGTGGTCCGCTCACGTGCGTATTTTCAATATCGCTGGACAGCTGCAGCCTACCTTCGGAATGG